CCCGCGCCCCCACTCTTTCCCTGCCTGCCAAGGTAAGGCTGCTGATCGCATGTACAGCATCAAACATGCCCCCAAACAGACGGACAGGTACTGGTTTTGCTGTGGCCGAAGCAATGTTCACAGCAGTAAATGGGCAACGGATTCTTGTTCTCTATAGTGAAATCCTCATACATTCTCATTCTCCAAGCACTAATTCCAGCTATGTTTCCATAGTAGGGGAGAATTATATAGTCTGTTTTCTCACAGGGTTTTTTTTTTTTTCCCATGGTCAGATAGTTTGATGTAGCCTCAGTCAGCACAGCTGTCTTACTAATAACCAAAGGATCTGAAAGCTGTTGTCACATGGAGACCTACAGCAACAGAGCATGCTTGACTGCTAAGGGACTGACACAGCGGAGCTGTGAAGCACTTATCTACTTTAGCAGAGGGTCTTTGTTTGGTACCTTGTAAAATGTGTGTTCTGTAAATCTGCAAATGAGAAGTTCCCATTCTGCCCTTCACAGTGATTTCTCACTCATTTTAAGATCATACGACAGGCACAGAGCCAACCTCTGTTCATGTAATTATGAAGCACAAATGATCTCCATAGGGTTTCACCAGTGTACCTGCCACCTGCCTTTCACAAGAGAGGAAAATTGATCAGCACTGATAAAGTATAACCTTGAATATCATAATGCTTTTGTGTGTGTATGAGGAATCCATCAAGTCCTATCTGGTCCCTAGGTTTCATGTGCCTTTGCAGTGAATGAGAGAGGGCCTTAATCCTTAGTGAATTTTACAGTGAGAAAGAAGATAGGAAATTGCTGAGTTCTGGAACGTACTTTCCTGTACAGCTTAGAATGATTTACGTAGAGTATTATGATTTACTTTCTTCTATCTCATTATTTTTGTTTGTTGGCTATAGCAGTCCTCTTCCTTTCGGGCTTACGTATTTGTTTATGTCCTATGAATAGACAGCAGAATCCTTTACGCCATTGCAAAGATATATCATGTTGTGTTACCAAACACAATGAGTGGAATAAAGAAGTACCCCATGACTCTGTTTTATGGTCTGGAGTAGATTAACATTTTTTAATGAAAACCATAAAATCAGGATTCTGTGTTGGTACACACTGTTCAGTGGTTTTAAAATACTTTATTTTTTTTTCTTTAGAACTGAGTCAAGTAGCAATCTTAAAGCAAATCAAACCCATATTGAATACATTTGAACTTTTAACACCAAAAGCTGAAAAGAGACATAGAAGCTTAAAAGAGCATACGAGAACAAATTGTAAAAGACGGGTAGAAATAGTTGAAAGCAGAGTCAGTGGGATTACTCAAAACTGCTGCAGTTTGCAGCTTGTTCTGTTAAAATAAGCTGCCATGGCTTTAAACTTAAACTAATGCAGCACGCTGCAAACTGTGGTGGAAAGTGAGCAGCCCAGCCTGCTACTCCTGTTTGGAGTTGTCGTCTTCTGAAGGGAGGTAGATCTATAACTTTTTGGCTGCTGCAGCTAGAACTGATCTCTCTGGTCTTGCCTTGCTGAACTAATAGAAGCTTCATTCAATAGGAGTGATATCAAAATAAAGCCTTTAAACAAATCAGTGTTATTAAAATGCAGAGAGAATGCAATATAATGTTCAGCTGGGGCTGGACTCAGGTGTAGGTGATGTTTTTGGAAGCCTCAGTGTTTATATTTCTCTTAGACTAACTTCCTAGCAAGCCCTGTGTCTTTCCAGGCATCTTTGAAGTAAACACAGCAAAGTCAGATGTCCTTGGCTGCAGCAGAAAGAGGAACCGAAAGGGGGAACCAGAAACATGAACATGGAACAGAAAGATAGTGTTTGTTTTATATTTCTGTCAGTCATAAAATCCAAGTGATTAACTGCAATGCTTGGGCTTGTACCTGTGGCAGCTGAGGTTCCCAGATGGGCTTCCATTCATGTACTTATAAAGTGTGACCCTTGTGACAGCCAGCATCGTTTCAATAAAATAACATGTCTTATCTGTGATAGAGCTATTAGCCTAAAATAGTGGTAACCCCATGAGAAGTTTGTTGTTATAGTCTGACAACGTGCCTTGTGCATTACATGCAGATTCCTGCAATGCATCGCTTGCCAGCTTGTATTGTAGACTTAAGATGTCGGCAGTTTTTACCTTGTGCATCATTACTAATAAGCTTCTTGTTAGCCATCAGACCTAACCTAGCTTTGTGGATGCTGTTTCTCAGAGGTTCTTTTTTAAAGACATTAAGTACTTATCTCACGTGACATTTTTTCCGTTGTAAGATGGATTTCTGTCCCTTACGCGTGTGTTTTGCAAGGCATCAAACTAAATCTCTAAACTGTACATTATGGAATTGCAGGAAGAACCTGATTATCAGTGGTTGAGAAGGGAATTACAGTATAAGCATCTATTTCAGGATATTTATTTTTGGTGGTTAAAATTGTGGTTTGCCTGGTTTCCTTGTGATTGCTCTATATTGAAAGGGAACACTTTAGGCAAATTCTGGTTTAAATAACTGCTGGTTTAGACATGTATCTGTGAGGATAGTTATTCTTTTTTTTCTCTGTGCAGAATGTAACTGTGATGCTGTTGGCTCAGTGGAGAATACATGTGGTCCTAAAGGTCAGTGTCTGTGCCATAGTAACTACTCTGGACTTAGATGTGACCGGTGCGCTCCAGGTTATTACAGCTATCCCAGCTGCTTGCGTGAGTAAAAGCCTTTCCTCCTTTTACTGGGGTTTCCCTTCTTATTTCTGCAATACAGAAGAAAAAAAAAAAATCTCAAGTGTATTTCCATCTAAAACTCCCTATGTAACCGTGATAGTTTTGTTCCATCCAAAGCTGGCAACAATAACAGTGAAGATCCAGGCAGTGTCCAGGCTTCCTGGCAGGCACAGCCCCTGGTAGTCCTCCCTGGCACATCGTCGCTATTCCTGTGCTAGTTGGATTAATGTGAGCACATCAATGTTGGGCCTTGATGCATTTGTATCTCTCTTTTAAAATATGAAATCTAAAGCTTAGGCTTGGCAATGGGCCTTTTATGAGTTCTGGCTCACTCAACTTACAGAACATAAGCTGTGTTTCAACTGGTTTGGGCTTCTAATATTTGATACACTGTCCTGTAAACTTTGAAGCAAGTGCATTAGTGTGTGCTCTTGACATGTGCCAACATTGCACCATAAATCCTGGTCTAGAAGAGCTTGACTCTGCAAATATTCCATCATATCAATAATTTTTCCTGCCCATGTGGATCAGTTGATCAGGCCCAGAATGCGTGTGTACGTTTATCACATCAAGCAGGGGGAAACCTGCAGGCTCTGTCGTTAAAATCAGCAAACTACTTGATCATCATGAACAGGACTGCTCTTTCCTAGAAATCAAAACATTATTAGTGTTAAAGAAGGAATGTATCCTCAGAGTTCTGCAATTACTAATCACCACAACCACAGCAAAAAAAAATCTGACGGGTTTGTTCTCTCTCTTTAGGAGACTAGCTACTACTTTACTAAAACAATTGTCATTAACCATTTCACCCTTAGACTCCATCTGAGCAAAGATTAGTCCCTTGGGCTATAGCAGCATTGTTCTTTTTTGTGGCATTATTCTTATTTATCCTGTGTGTGTAAAGCCATTGCACAACTGAGACATTGCGTAGGAATCTGAAACAATAAGGCTGTTGCATGGTGTACTCCAAGGCTTGCTTCTGGCCTGCTCTGCCCTCAGATCTAAAGGTGTGATGGGCATACAACTTTATATTCTATATTTTTAAGTGCAGGTCTAATTACAGAATTTGCCTGGTGCTTTCTGTAACCCTAAGAAGATCAAGAAAGCAGAAAGCCAAACCCAAGAACTCGAGGAAGAGATTTATTATAGTTCCAGATAATCCTACCCGTTTCTGTCAAGAACAGAGGAAGAAAACAATGCCAAGATGGTACAGGTCACCTCAAACTCATAGGTTCCAAGCAGGGGTGAGGACCTTGTAAGTTATGGAAGAACCTTGTCAGCTATTTATGGCCAAAAAAAAAGAAAAAAAAGAAAAGATGACCTCTGTAGACAAACAGTACTCAAACCTCTACATTACTGAAGTTTTGGAAAGTTATTGCTTGGTACATACAGGGGGAACCCTTCCACCACTGTCTATGTTTGTTGTTGTGTAGCTTGTGAGTGCTCTCCTGATGGTTCCAAGCACGGCACGTGTGAGCCAACGGTGGGGCAGTGCGAGTGTCAAACAGGCGTCACGGGGCGGCGGTGCGACAGATGCCTTTCTACAGCTGGCAGTTTCCCCTACTGCAAAGGTAACGCCTTGAGGGAAAATCCTCCATTCTGATTTGGATTGCCCCTATTTTTATTGCAGCGTTCTCCAGGGCAGTCTGCTGCGTGGAAAGTTTTATAGAAACCCACTGAAGTGTGGGGAGGGAGGGACACACCAGGACTACATATGAGATGAGCTTATTCATTGTTCTATACGTTATTGCATGAAGTGAACTGTAGGTTTAAAACCTTATTTAGATGATCACATAGGAACTTTAAGAGAATGTCTCTTAGTTCTGTAGGTTAGAGCTATATTTTTCCAAGTGACTACTTTGCATACCAAATCAAGTAGTCTAAACCAGGCTAAATACACATTTGAAAAATCATTATTAAAAGCTTCCGCTGGTCTAGAAGTTTAAAGTATTTGAGTCCCTCCAAGATAACCGTGTTAAAAAGCCCTTTCAAACTCACACCTGCTTCATTGTACTTCTGCACTACTACATTCCACAGCTCGGTTTTCCAAAGATCTTTCAATGTGTTTGTTTTTTAATTTCATAAAGGTGTCAGCAGTGAATGTGACCCTTCAGGTAGCGTTGGTTCTCATTCCGTAAGTATTCTACCACTGCAGCTAACAGTGCGTGTTAATAATTCATGTGCCTTTGAACGCATTCACTTCATCGCTCAAGTCCTGAAGCCTGCTGTTAGTCCGTGAAAGAATTGCATGAGCTTATTTGCAGATTAAGAGTGGAAATAAACTTTGTGTTTTGTTCTTTGATCATACCAGTGCAATTCACTGTTGAGGGTGCATTTTTTTTATCTTTTATATATAGAATATGCCTACTGTTTATGTATTCTTGGCATGCTAGAACACTAATATATACATGCAGATATGCATATAAGCCTATGCATATGTCAAAGACCTTCTTGTTCTGGGTTGCAACAGGCCATTTCAGCATCAAATTATTCTTGAAAAAATTATTATCTCTTTGTAACTGTTGCTGTTCCACTATTTTTGTTATTAATACGGTGATGGTTATTAGTAGTAGCATATTACCAGAAATCACAGTCATTGCTAAATATGTAGCGAAGACGACCTAGATGGTAAGTCTGACCGATCAAAGAGGTGTCTTTGTAGGCTCATGTACACAGCTGTGTGTGTCTTCCACCAATAAAGGAAGGAGTCAATAAGAAAATTAATGATTATATTAAGGAAATTTGTTTTTTAAACTTTTTGTGAAACAGTTAATACTTTAGAGGAGTTCTAACAAGGCTATAGAAGAATGGAAAGTACATCCATTGGGGCATTTAAAATAAATGAGATATGGAAAAAATAGTCAGGGTGGAACAATTCTGTGCTGATAGTCTGAGACAGAAAGATCTAAGAAGTCTGAATCAGCCTCAGTTTCCATGCATCTGTAAAAGTCAGTAAACTGCCTGACCTGTTAATAATAATAGGTTTTTCTTAGTACTAAAGAGCAGTATGTTTTTTGTGAAATAGATGAACCCATATTAACTTCTTTCTGTCATTAGGGCTATTGTCAATGTCTTCAGCACGTTGAAGGTCCTACCTGTAGTAAATGCAAACCATTGTACTGGAACCTGGCCAAAGAAAACCCTGAGGGATGTACAGGTACAGCTCCGTGACATATTTCTTTGGCTTACGGAATGCGTTAAATTCTTTTGAAAGTCATCTTTATTCACTGTCACCATCTTTGGTGCTCAATGGCTATCACAACTCTTGTTAATAGCCTGTTTTTCATACTACTTAACTGTAACACCAAATCACCCATGGTACCAGCAGTTACTTTTAGAAATTGGGCCATAATGTCATGAGCGTTTGCTTGTGCTGGACCAACTTGTGCTCTGAGTTACAATGATGTGTGCTTCATACGGCCCTATGGCAGTTTTACTGGAGTGAGACTGGATTTCTGCCCTTAACACTGAAACCAGAATTTGGCTTATTGTTTTGAGAAAAAGGTGCTTTTTCATTTATTATCATCTCCTAGCCTGTAGAAGAGTGAAAAGCCTTCTTGTGGCCTCAGGGTGAGACAAATCTGTTATGGTTTGTGTCTATATAATACCAACCTGTTTGCAATTTTCAAGGTTTGCTAACAGCAGGCGTGTGTTTTTCAGGCAGACAATAATAATTGTAAAGATTAAAAAGGATGAAGATAAAAAAATCTTTAAAACTGTTTTTTCTCCCCAACTATTTCCTTTCCAACAGGTTCCACCACAACAGCTACCTAGATAGGATGAGTAGCCTTAGAGCCGATACCAATACAGTTACATCTTTGACTCTCAATCTCTAAACACTATACAGTCTAAACATCTCCTCAAAGATTAATTACTGCACCTTTCATGTAATTCATCTTCTCTGCCTTCAACCACAGAGCCAATGCTGGGTTTCACCAAACCTCTAGGTCAGCATAGCTCCTTCCTGCAATATTTGCTTCATTTATATTTCATACGGAGAGTTGAACTGGTCCCAAAGTAGCGCTGCAGAATAGAAGGTGCCAGTCAGGCAGCAAGACACTGGTTTGCATCAATTGTATGAATGTTTTTAAGAAAGAAAACAATTGTAAATCCAAACTCAAGACTGGTTTTGTTAAACACAAGTTAGAACACTTTAAAACACACTAATAAATCCCACATACACAGAAGTCCTCATTCTTTCTCCTTGGCTTTTTATTCTTACCTTGCGCCAATATCCATCTGCTATTCTGTACCTTCCAGAGTAAAATCCACCTTGTGGCACTATGACTCAAAATTCCAGATTCAGGGTGGTGGGTTTTTTTCCCTGCAAATATCTTGGAAAGACAAAATGCAGATTGTCTTTTTTTTTTTTTTTTCCATCTGTGCAGCATGCCAGTGTGATGTGACTGGAACACTAAGTGGAGTTGCAGAATGTCAGCAGGTAAAGTGAAATTAAAAGACAGACATTAATTAAATTGATTTTTGTAAATATAAATTGTTGTATCATTTGGTAAGATAGGAAACTTAGAACTGATTATTGCTTTTGCACATAAAGTAGCTGGTTTTATACAGCAAAGAAGCAGTTTTATACAGAAGTTCTGAAAAATTTTCATCATCTTGAATTTATGCATTTTCTAGTCTGTTCATTGAAGATGATAAATGGCAGAAGTTATGTCCAGATAATATCTTTTGTTGAGAATAGAATTATTTCCTCTTTAGAATTAGAGAGAATTCCAAGTATTGAAAGATACTGAAAGTTCTGAAAGGTGCTGAAACATTTTGATGAAATTGTTTTCTTCACAGGACAATGGGCATTGTTACTGCAAATCTAATGTTTGTGGAGATTCCTGTGACACTTGTGAACCTGGTTTTTATGCTCTGGAAAACAAGAATTATTTCGGCTGCCGAGGTAAAATGAATAAAGGCCACCTCTAGTTGCCCATTTGCACTTAGCACAAAAGTCTTTAGAATTCCCTAGGTTGTATTTTTAAAATGTGGATGTATTTGTTGAATCACTCACACGCACAGTGTTTTGCACTACTGCTTGTAATTGCTTGTAACTCATGTAACTCCTCCTTTGCCTCCCAAAGGGAGAAAGAACAAGGCAGAAGTTACCACTGTGGTTGCCAGCTGCTCTGTGGCTCGCTGGCGTGAGGAAAGGTGTTCCTCTTTGGGTTTGTTGTCCTTCACCTTGCCTTCTCTGGTGCCTCATGTACCACCATTTGTCTGAGGCTTCTCTGTCAAAGCCCGCAGTGAGATTGCATGAGGTGCTGCTAAAGCTGTTACAGAATCATAGAAGCACAGAATCACAGAATGGTTTGGGTTGGAAGGCACCTCAAAGATCATCTAGTTCCAACCCCCCTGCCATAGGCAGGGACACCCTCCACTAGACCACGCTGCCCCAAGCCCCACCCCACCCCGCCCATCCAACCTGGCCTTGAACACTGCCAGGGAGGGGGCATCCACAACCTCTCTGGGCAACCTGTTCCAGTGCCTCACCACTCTAACAGTAAAGAATTTCTTTCTAACATCCAACCCAAATCTACTCTCTTTTGGCTTAAACCCATTACCCCTTGTCCTGTCAGTACATTCCCTGATAAACAGTCCCTCACCATCTTTCCTGTAGGCCCCTTCAGGTACTGGAAGGCCGCAATTAGATCTCCCTGGAGCCTTCTTTTCTCCAGGCTGAACAATCCCAACTCTTTCAGCCTGTCCTCATAGGAGAGGACATTATCTTAACAAAGAAGATATATCTTACCAAATAACTGAGAGTCATTCCTCCTCTCACTCCTCATGAGTTGTGGGGCCAGGAATGGTTGATCCTCTGCAAGCATTACTTGTAAGAGTGGTAGCTGTCTGTTCCACTTAGCAATTTTCTAAGGTCTGATGCTGCAATAAGAACTTAAAATGTTACAACGGATACGAGCTTGATTTCTTTTTGCAGGCATATTCGTGTATTGCTTTTGCCCAGGGCTCAATGTGTTTTGAAGCAGAGACAGATGTAGTTGTGATGTGGAGAAAGTGGTCCCTCTTCTGAAGGATACTTGGTCTGCCACGTGTTTTGAGTGACAGAGGGCTACTTCAACAGTTCCCTTCCCTCCTTGTCCCCCCACTGTAGATTTAGGTTTGTTAAAATTATTGAAAGCACTTTCACCGACTTCAGTGTGCTTTACACCTGTCCAGGGTTGATGCAAGAGATTTATTTTTAAAGCATTGAAGTACTTCTAACAATCATTTAATATGTGCAAAGTTAAAAATACTGGCTACTGTATCAAACAAAACTTTCATGCCAGTTATGCAAACCAAGGAGCTAATGAAAGGGATCTGGTTTCACAAAGGTGTCAAATACTTTAATTATTCTTGATTTCAGTGACGTTATAGGTGCTTCACATGTCTTAGAAAACAGGAGGCTTTTACACTACGATGTAAATATGCGTTTAGGAAGGTTCAGCCTTTCAATTCAGCTTGTAATTCTTAGCCTAGACATACTTGCTCCTTAGTATGGTATGTTTTACCTCATTACTAGAGATGTCCTTTAGTTTGTGCCACAAGTCCCGTATCCTGTGGAAACTCCTGCAACATTGTTGTCCAGTATTGGTTAAAAATGTGCATGTGCTATTATATGAACACATATGTTCTTGTTGTGTGCAATTTTTGTAAGAGAAATTAAATATTGGGCTACCAGACTTTGAAAAATTAACATCTTACAAATTTTGTAAGTTAGGTTTTGGGTTTTTGTGATATTGCTGTAGAAATTCTGACTTATTAGCAAAACATTTAAATGGCTGTTCTGCAAAACTGTAGTCCTGCATTTAGTAATGTGGCATGGCTTATTATTTGTGACTTTTTTTAAAAAGTGGCTTTTCTCAGATTCCAAGGAGAAATAAAGAAGACAACCACAAACATGGAAAGCCAGAAATAATTGCAGTTTACACATGTGTGTTAACATGTGTTTGAAAAAGTTTGAGGGGAGGGGAACCTGAAGGGCTTGGGATTGAGGAAACGAGTCGATAATGGTGTTTAATTAGCAGAAGCCAGATGTGTTTTCTGATAACTTTTATCACTTTTTTTCTGACGGGATATTTGGCTTCTGCTCTTCGCCTGACAGGCTGTCAGTGTGATGTTGGAGGATCCATCAGCCCAGCGTGTACGGAGCCCTCGGGTGGCTGCCAGTGCAGGGCGCACGTCGTGGGGACAGCCTGTCGGGAGTGAGTCTGGCTGTAGCTCCCGGTAGCTCGCGCTTCAGCATAGTTCTTTCGAAACTGCCCATCAGTCCCTTGCTATGCTTTCACGTGAGATGCTGGATTTGTTGATAAATAAGCTGGGAAATTGTATTAGTTATTGATATTAATTTTGCTGGGCAGTTTTCTTCTGTAATTTTAATAAGTTTCTTTAACTTGTGTCCTTAAATAACGAATACCTATTCTGCAGTAGCATTGCATATGTATCTATGTATCTATCAATAGTTATATAGGAAAACGTACAGCTGTAAAAGTTTCTGGAAGCATCTTATTAGCTGTTTTGAACTTATTAGCTGCTATCAGGATTCCTCAGTCATCAGTAGGTCACCTCCCTTCCACCGCTTTATGCTCTTAGCTGTAGACCATGCAGTGACTTGTAATTCGTTGTCGCTGTTTTTCTTCTTGAAAGGCCTGAAAAAAACTATTTTTTCCCTGATCTGCACCACATGAAGTTTGAGATTGAAGATGGTACTACTGTCAAGGGAAGGGAAATTCGGTTTGGCTATGATCCTCAGGAATTTCCTGGCTTCAGTTGGAGAGGATATGCCCAGATGTCCTCTATACAAGTAAGCTGGTATTTTCCCAAAGGCTTTGGAGTGAAAACATAGGTGTATGGGATATATGTCTCTATAGTACTGCTATGTGTGTGCAAGGTCACGGAGAAACCGGAAAAAAGGACAGGAACTCACTAATCTGAACCCTTTGGCACTGTATCACTGTTTGGATTAGTGAGTGTTGGTATTATTGTAAGTTGGTCATTGCTTTTGCAAATATGTGTTCTTCAGAAATGTTCTTGGAGGGGTTTTTTTGTGAGAAATACACATTTTGCGATAGGTGTAAAGAAAAGCACTAGCAGCTTTAAAGTCTGTAATACTAGGTGCAGAAATTGTTGTCATGCCAAAGACAGTGGAAACAGCAGAAGATTGATGGTTGGCTACGTAATTTGAATTACACAGTTCCGTGGCAGTCTGTGTCAATAAGACTTTCAGGTACATCACTGTCACTGAAGGCTTCTTATACTTGCAACGTATATTGGGCGAAGAAGAGAAAGACACCAACTTTTATTAGGAATGATACCTTCACATTACAGCTAACAGGAAAATGTCTGATTCAGTAAAAGCAGCTGTGAGCAGGAGCATATTGGCAACATTTATTTTAGTCTCATGACAGTCTACAAATAAAGTAAACAGCAGGAGAGGGAATAATAAATCACATGAAGGTCACCATAATTTAATTGTGTGAGAAGGGACCTGTCTGACTTTGGACTGAACTGCTGAGCAAGTGAACCAGGATTTTAAAACAGTAGATTTGAGTAATAAATGGGAGTTGCTCACTCTTCTTAAAAGTAGTACTCTGGTATAGTTGTGTCCAGCCTCTGTAAGTTGTCCAAGGACTAATGGATCACTGTAGACTGAGACATAAGCACATAACCATTGCACAAGCATAATGATTTCCTTTCTGTTCTTCATTTTTCTCTCTTTTCCCTTTGCTCTTTTGGCTTTTTTTTTATCCCAGAGCTCATATTTGTTGGATCTGCAGAATTACTCCACTTTCACAAATGAAAGCAACTCTCTAGTAGCTGTGATTTCTTAACTTCTGCTTTCTAACTCAGGTGCTTTTTGCATTTCATATCCAGTGGCATTTTGTACAGAGGTAGTGACAGGGCTTAGTCTCTAATCTTGCTAAAAGGGTGCACTATTTTGCTTACCTGGATAAAGCTTTTCACTCCTGTAAGTAATTCCTAGCTCCAGGCCATCCTTAGTTAGATCCTTGCATAACTGAGATGGTCTCACATTCTTCATTTCAAGGAACTTTCCTAATTTTGACATAACGTTTCTGTGTCTTGCAGGACCCTGAAATAATCCTCCTGACATTTACTTTTAGAAGACAAATAGCGTTACCATATCTACCACACAAAAGGCTAACGTAACAACTTTTTGTGAAAAGAAACTATTTCAATACAATGAAAAGTTTTTGATGTGAAAAAAATCAGCTGTGTGGGCCCTCAGTGGAGGTTACTGGTGCCCTGTCATGCTGCCAACATGGGTGTCTCATTACAGACTGAGAAGCTGACAGTCGGGCTCAGATTTTAAAGCACTGGCCAGAGTAGCTTAAGTTTGTGACAGAGCTCAAAGAATAATTTCTCCTCACTACCTGCCTTTGCTTGAAGCCGGGGATCAACATCTCTTCCTCCCTCGTTCCTCACATATCTCTTCTTTCTCTCTCTTCCCTGCGTCTTCTAGATTTTCCGTAAAAGCTTAGAAACCATTTTGATAAATCTCCCAAAGCACATTTCTTTATTACTTTTGTATTTTCTTTTTTGTTCGTATCTATTTTCCAAGTGTTCCTTCAGTGCCTATCTTATCCATGTAGTATCCTTCAGAAGTCATCCTTCTCCATTTCAAACAACACCTGTAAAACCTTCCCCTACTTGTCTGTATTGTCCACTCTGGCCCACTGCCCTTCTGCCATCACCTAGATTTTAGCTATCATCTAGTCTCTGTAGATCTCTCAGCCCTACTGTCTGTTGTATGTCTGTCTTCGCTTTCTGCTTTGCTTTTCTATTAAGAAGGTGGAGGTCTCTGGGATGATGATATCAGAACTGAGGAATGTACAGTCAGAGCAGCATATGGAAGCTGGCAGTCTTGCATTTATTGTAGCTTTTAGGGGTAAGAGAAAATGAGGCTTTGTGCTCCATTCTCAAATGTATGGAACAGAGAAAACCTGTACACGTTTGGGGAAGCAGAATGGACCACAGTGGTGGGGAGGTCACTGTACCACAAGCATCTTGTGGAGGGACAGCGAGAGGATTGTGACAGGTGGACTGGTAGGAGTTGGACTATGAGGAGAGCTTTAGCATTTAGGATGGAAAGAAGGAAGCCAAACCTTTGAGGCTGCACCAATCCCATTTTTTCCCACCAACCTTTGAACACGTCTGCCAATCCTGTTGCTCTGCAAACCAAATAATGAGGGCTGTGGGAATGCAGCCTCCTGTGGGCTCGGGAACCGTGTGGCTCCAGAGGCGTCAGTTCAGGCCCAGGGCAAAGAGAGTCATGCATGGTATCGCATCGCTAAGAAACCAAGGGATCTGGTGGAGGAGGGAAGAAGTTTCAGTGATGGTCTGAGATGTCTGCGTGCTGTAGAGCGTTGTGTGTGATCTCAGACTACGATCGATGATTCTGGCCTTCTCCTTGGGAAGCCAGGAATATGGACAGCTCTTGATACCATATGCTTCCTTTATGGCACTGGAGAGGAGAACAGTAAAAGACTGTCCATGTATCAAGGTGCAATATCAACACACATGTTAGTTCAGCCATTCTGTGTCTTTCTGGATAAGCTATTATTCAACAAGAGTTTTATTTCACAGGAGGTTTTTTCCTATATTCTTTTATTTGCTGCCCGAGCTTTTCTTTTCTGTTATGGAGTTTGTCTTTGCCAAATGGTTTTTCTTTCTTTGGGTGCTAGTAACAAATAATATACTTTCCTTTCCTCCTTTTTCCCTTTATTTTTATTTTTCCCAGCCAGAGGTGGTTGTGCCTATCACTGTGGCTTCCCCTAAACTCTTCCACCTAGTCCTCCGCTATGTCAGCCTGGGCTCAAAAAGCTCTAAAGGGAAGATCTCAGTTGCTGAGGGAAAACATTTTGGCACTAATTATACTTGTAAGTGAATTAATTTTCTCACTAGGCTTGCCTGTCTTCCTCTGTCATACACCAGCATTGCCATTCCAGTATATACTTGTCTGCATGTGCGTTTTTCTTGTAGAACTTTAGTATGGTGCTTGCATGGCTTCTAACTGTTCCTCTATTCAGCACTTTATGGCTGTTTTTGTTTATTAACTTCCATTTTTCAGAATGAAGTGAGGATAACTTTGAATGTGGAAAAATCAGACCTCTACTTATTTCGCATTATCCTGAGGTATATTAACCCTGGAGGTGAAACATTATCTGGTCGCATATCTGCTTGTCAATCTCAGCCTGAAACAGGTAGGTGCAACTCAGCGCCGCAACAGATCAGATGAATGTTAGATCAGAAGAGGCTTTTCAAGGTAGAGCTAAGTTAAATTTCTAATGTCGCTTAATAATGCTTCACTTTTAACAGTGTTGGTGCTTTTGTGTTTTTCCTAATGTATGTTGCCGTGTAATTGATGTGGCTGTGATTGCATGAAACCCCTGCTTACAGCAGTAATCAACATTTGTTTTCTTGGATGTTTGCCAAGCTTGGTACTTTCAGCTCTGCACTTAGCAGCTCTGAATTGTGTGTTTTACAAAGCTTTTAAAGAAGAGATAACAGCACTTATTTTGGTTTAGTTGCCTTTAATATTTCAGTTTAAAGGTGGCTTCTGCCTTCATTCCATGAATAACATTTATTTAATGATTAATCCAATCTACCAAGTTAGCTCTGATTATAGATCTCAACAGCACGTGATGCCTTTTGGGCCCTGATAAAAGATAAGTACTCCATATCCTTTGGATGGTAGAGGCATACCAAGCCCATATGCAGAATTATCTCTTATTATGCCTGACTTCAGCATACTGATGGGACCTAATGGAGTTTAGTCATAAATCCATCTAGTAATTCAGAGGAGACAAAACTGAAGATTTCCCAGATATCACTCAGTAGAGTGGCAGCAGTTTGTGGTCACATCTAGCTTATATTGCCTGGGAGGCAGGGAACCAACTTTTGTCTGTGTCGGGGGAGTTCAAAGAGGAAACCTTTAATATTCGTAACAATTGATCCTCATGACTTCTCTTTGACAAAGCAGAGTACAGCTACGTTTCTGTTGTACGTCACCTCTGCCCAGAAGTTTACCCTCAGTTATTATCTGTAGCTAAACATTTTAGTTTAGATGCATTTTAGATCCAGTGTCTGAAATATTTGGCTGAAAGTCACATGCGAACAGCCTTGTGTCAGCGGAACATACCGTCAGTCGGTGCAGAGACAGATTGAATAGAAAATAATGGAAGGGGTAAGTGAAGAAGCAAGCATTTCAGAAAATTGCGAAACAGGCCATTACCGGGGCAGAGCTCTGCTTTTTCTGAACCAATTCGCTCAAGACTACTGAGAACCAAGACAACAACCACTGCATAGCTCTGTAGATTATCGTGTGTGGTCAAATGCACTGTAATACATATTGACAGGAAAGCACTGATCAGCTCCTGTTAGACCAAGTTTAATGGATGAAATCATCAGTCCAGCGCACTAAGCAACTAGAGACGTTATACACAGTCCCTTATTTTTTTTAACTGATTTTTTTTTTCTTTTCTGCTGGCAGGGACTGCTCAGAGCAAAGAGTTTGTTTTCCTACCCAGCAAGGAGCCAGCTTTTGTCACAATCCCAGGAAAAAGCTCCGCAGAGCCTTTCTCACTGGTTCCAGGCACGTGGACTGTCAGCATAATGGCAGAGGAAGTCCTCTTGGTAAGAAAACAATTGAGGAAAGCAAATGCTTGAAGGCTGTCATGATAGTATTGCCCTGGAGTTATTTGCCTTGAAGAACCCTGCAAGCAATTGAAATTCAGTACCAGTGAAAAGAGTACAGCAGCAGAATATCATTATGAAAATTTACAGTTCTGCTTCTTATTTATTTTTTTTCTTCTCTGACTTTCACCTGCCTTAATTTTTCTTGTGCTTACAGACTTTAAGTCTATCTGGAATCTGTATCTTCAAAGGATAAAGAAATATTAACATACAGCACAATTGGTTGAGCATAAATGCTCACAGAAATTCATAATTCTTACATATCAGATGTCATATCTAAAGGTTGGCTCAACTACGGATAACCAAGGCCTTAGTTTCTTGACAAAGATTCTTCAGAAAAGTATTGTAAGATATGCTGCCTGATTAGCAGGTCATTTTCTAAATGTTTTTATCCTCCCATCATTACTCTCACTCACTAAAAAACTGAAAAATTTTCTGACAGCAGGTCTGAGAAATTGCTGTAAAATACCAAATCGTTTGAGATGATCATTTATGAGAAATCTTAAACATGTATGATCGCAAAGACAGCATACTGAAATTCATACATACATTGTATAGGGTTAACAAGTAGCCAGTGTCTTTACTCATTTAGCCTGGGGCTCTGTTAAATTTGTGGAATACCACATAAAATGTTATTAAAGAGCTTGCAAACATATTTCTTGCTGAAAATGACAGTAATTATGGTGCCTGGTTGTTTTACTAATAACTTTAAAAAGGAATTTATTAATGATCTTAGCCCAGCATGTTCTCACCATAACAGTTTTTATAAATAAGCTCTGATTTGTTAATTTAAGTAGGCAAGGCAGAGCAAAAATGTACCAGCTTTTGAAGCACAGCTTAATAGACTACATGGAATATTTTTATAAAGTCACCTGGGATACGTGAATCTCCCTTGCGGAGTCATGCGGGGGTGAGTTGTGTGCATGTGGATTGCACGCAGGGTGAGAACTGCGCCCAGCTGGCTGTGCGTCACCACGCCGTGGCGAGGCTCCTTTACGAGCACTGTCTTGTACAGCGCACGCTGGGAGAGTGGCCACAGAGTTTCCCTGCTCACGGGGCAGCTGCCCTTGTCCCATCTCTACGAAGGTATAACTAGAGTTAGGGAGACACATTCTGATGGTATTGGCCCATGTAACAACAGCAAAAAAAAATCCACGTCTTGCAGATATCCTCTGTAAAAATTATTTATGATGTGGTTGGTTTTGTTCATTGCTACATTGTGAAAGTCTAGAGATGTTCCTTTTGTCATTTTCTGCATGGTCTTGCATTTGTTGTGTTCTTTGTTCTTAGGATTATATGGTGCTGTTACCGAGTGACTACTATGAAGCATCCATCTTGCAGATACAAGTTACAGAGCCTTGCACCTATTCAGGACGTGCTTCAACAGAACAGTCAGTATATATGCTATATATGCTACAGAATAAACACGTGCCTTGGGTTGTTTAGTTATTATCCTGCTGCACTTGAAAACAATAATAATCCTGTGTTTTGTTTGTTGGGGTTTTTTTTGTGTAAGCTGCTTGCTGTATCAGCATTTACCATTGGAAAGGTTTTCCTGTGTCCTTGGTTCAGAGGCAGCGTATTTCAGACATGGGGGAGAGTACAGAAGAATCCCTGTGCGACAGCCAACTCCTGATCAACCAGTGATGACCCATATCAGCGGAAGAGAGGTCAGATTCCTGCCTGCTAACTGCAGTCCCGTATGCACTGTTGACTATAAACCTACCGGACTAAAACGATTGCAGATTTACAGCTCAGGATTTGCAGATCTGTAACACATTCCTAAAACAAACTCTGCGCCAAGTTCTGCGTTTTATACAGAAACATGTAAATGGATCATGTAAGCAGATTTATAACTGTGACTAGAGTGGACATTTCACTCTGACAAAAGTATTTAATTAAATAAAAACTCCCTCTGCTTTAGGCATACTGGATTGTTCAGCATACTGTTTAATTGCGGCAGAAATAGCGTGATGGTTTGTCAGCAGAAATGGTGTACGTACATCACTCTAATTTAATCTTTTTCTTTCCTTAAATAGCTATACTTACGTAAAATGTTTGCTTTACTAAAAACCAAGCAGAAGCAATTATACCACTGCTGTAGGTTCATTGAAAGAGAAACATATGTTATATGAAATGAAAAGTTATACTAGAAGTGTGTTTGGTAAAAATAAGGTATTTTATCATGTCCATGATAATTACATGTAAAATAATTATTGCTCTCTGTTGCTGTGCTTGGATATTGCTTTTAAAAATACCAAGTGCAGCAAGAATGCTTCCATGCCACAGACCCTGGTGCTTCATCACTGATGCATGTGCAAAACTTTACTGGTATGAATAATTGCAATGAAGTCAAGCAGGCTGTTGACAGAATTATTTACACATTCAAGTGTTCATAGCCTAAGGAAATATTGAGAAAAAACAGTTTAAATTTGAAAATAATTATATAGCCAACTGTAGCGAAGTCTGTAACCACAGCACTTTCCATGCAACTACTTTGAAGTATTTTGCATCTAGTATTGTATTAATGAATTCATGCAGGTAAACTAAAGAAAAACTTGATGCCTCAGAAAGTGGTGTTAGCTGTTTGCTGGAGAAGATGTTTTCACTCTTTGTAGGGAATCAACATACAGCACTGCTGTAGTAGGAATTATGTTCCTGGGAAATTTTTTTTCAGTGGACAAGTAGACGCAGTTTTTATATGTTATTAAAGATAGCTTGGAGATGATAGTGATAATTTTTTAGTATCATTAACGTTTCCTCACTGGTACTTTCTACTGGGGAGAAGATAAATAATAATATACTCATTTCCTATGCTCATTTTACAGCCTTCCTAGAGCTGTTATAATGGCAGCTGTTTCTTGAACTTGGTTGACTCTTATTAGTGGACAAAGTGATATTTATAAGCATCACTTCCATTCTGCTGGGTGTCTTTTGCTGAGGCATTACAGGATTGGCCCTGGACTAATGCTGACTGGTCAGCTTGCAGGGCAGGAGAAGGGAGTTTCCTGCAAGAAAGGGAGTGAGAAATCTAATGGCTTTTTTCTTTTTCAATGATCTTGACCTAGGTCAATTTACAGATGACCATAAACGTACCTCAAGTCGGTCGCTATGTTCTGGTTTTTGAATACGCCAATGAAGACGATAGGTTATACACTGCCGAGGTAATAATACATAGCCCTGGACCTGTCACTGAAGGCAGAGTGAGAATATATAGTTGTCAATACAGGTGAGAATTTCTGAAGTAATCACTAAATGATTAAATAAGCATTTGGGATATAATTATACTTTTTATATATTGGAATCCATTTTACTATGTAGATTGTTTGAATTTTAGGGGGATTTAAAAGCAAGTACATGATTCCGTGTATGGAATTACAGATTTTAATTCTCTCTGTGCAATCAGCTCATTAAATATTGCTGCTGCTTCAGTGAACTGTTTTCCTATACAAAGGGTTACTTTTTTTATATACATTCATAAATCCTCATAAACTATTAATCTCCAAGTCCAGTGGAAGAGCATTACTGTTGGCTGCAGATGCCTGTGCTGGTTTTATTTAGTTAAAAGCATGTCCGAGGGCTTTGCCTATAAAAAATGTAGCAGCCAGTTTTACAAGAGCATTCCCACTGTTTCTAACAAGATCTGCTGAAGCAGAAGTATAAAGGTCTCTGAAATGCCGAGTGTAGCCATCGTCTGGCTGTTAGGCTGCAGGCACGGTCTACATCCAAATGCTTCTTTATCCTTGTTGACTGCTGAGGCTACTGCAGATGTTTCTGCATGAGAGATTTTGTCTGTCCTGAGCAAGATTGTCTTTAACACTTGAGCATTTCAGCTTGTGACTCAAATTAGGATTGTGATCCTGCAGCACCCTTGGGAGAGCCTACCCAGTGCCAGGGGACTACAGACATGCATACATTTTTTCCCATGAGCCAAGTGTTTGGCAGATTGGAGGCTTAGGGATATTCAGGATGAAATTGCCCAGTAAGAAAAATCATTTTCATCAGCAAGTTTGTGATAAAGAGCAGAGCTATGTGGAGCAGTGACCTTGCCAGGTTATTGCTGGGGAAAGCTCTTATTTTAGCCTGTTACATAACACTTTGAGTGTTACTGAACTGCTTGCTATAAATCTTCCATTTTATTGCTTCCCCCCCCCAACACATTTTATGTGCTAATTTTGAACATACTTGTTTGTTCATATGATACTCTGAGAACTTGCTCAGTAAAATACAAAGCCCTTGCTACTTTAATGTGGCAATGCAGTAAATCCCTTCTGCGGCCATTCTGCATGAAGCTAATGGTCACGTTGCAAGTAAGTTGCTGTGTCATCTTTCCTAAGCAGGAAGCTACAGGTGTCTTCTGTTAAAAAATAAATCAAGAAATGACATAGTGAGGTACATGCAGATAAGAGTAACTTGTAGAATCAGGAATATATTGTGTCAGATCTTCTTACAGCTCTATGAGCTTAATTATTCCCAATAAGAGAGTAAAACATTGGAAGCTTCCAGCAAATCACAAATAAGGAACCTATGTTTCTCCAGTCTTAAATGGCCTTAGCCCTGAGCTGACCTTATTTCTGAATTGTGCTCTAAACAAGAGTGCAAATTCCACATTACCTGGTTCATAGAGGAGAAATGGAGAAGCAGTCGTATGGTGGTTACAGCTTCTCACCCACAGCTGGCTGGCCTAGCTGAGCAGAAGTGCAGACGAAAGAAAAGAAATTAGAGCCTTATGACTTCTCCTTAGCAAAAGCGAACTGTTGCTACTTTTGACAAGTTGCAGGGGTCATGGTCCCTGAACAAGGCAGAGTTCAAAGGCTTTAGCAAGACTCTTCCTCTTAGTGTGTATTGGTCTTTACCAAAGATGCACAGCCAATTGAAGGTAGTCAGTAAGAGGCAAACCTACATTTTTTCATTTGTATCAAGGAGTATTTCAGTGTAGAGACAGCTTCCTAAAATCAAGACTTGCCCAGCTGCCATTGTGTGGGTGAGAGGTGCTGATCTGCACCATCAATGGTGCATGGCAGTAGTGGAAAGCAGCCGCTGGTGCGTGCTGGCACCTCAAGGAGCATGGCTGAGGCACAGAATATTAGTTACACACCATGTTACACAGCTTGGAAACCTCTGCAGATAGCACGTATGTCTATCTGTCTGTGGTGAGGCACTGGAACAGGTTGCCCAGAGAGGTTGTGGCTGCCCCCTCCCTGGAAGTGTTCAAGGCCAGGCTGGATGGGGCTGTGGGCAGCCTGGTCTAGTGGAGGGTGTCCCTGCCCACAGCAGGGGGGTTGGAACGAGATGATCTTTGAGATCCCTTCCAACCCAAACCATTCTGTGATTCTATGATTCTGCTTAAAGCAGTAGCTCAAATGGAGATGTGAGCTGAGATCTGGAGGTTTGGGCTCTGGGCAGGTCAACTCACAAAGGACAAGCAGTATTTTGTACGTGGTACATCCGTTGTCTCACTCGTGAAGATACTGTATGTTCACCAGTGGCCAAAGGTAGTTGTTACTTAGGA